ATTCACTCCTGTGAACCCACATCTTTTCCATGTAATTCTGAACACTAGTTTTCTTTACAGATTTAGGGTTAAAAAAAAAAAAAGAACTTTATGAAATTTTACTTGAAATGTTATTAAAATGCATTTAATTAAGACAACTGCACTGACAAATTGTTAATCTCAGAAAATGAAATATGTGGAATTACAGACATATTTATTTACACTGGAAGCAAAGATTTTATAGATAGATTTGACGTGCAGACTCAGTGGTAGCTAACATTTTAGCTACTCGTTAAATGCTTTGACTTTTACTCACCTATGACTATTCTGAGATGCTTGAGCCTCGTCAAAACGTCCTTCTTTGGGTCCAACACTTTCTGTGTTGATTTTTTAACGTCCCCATGAGTCTTTTTGGAAAACATTCCTGACGCAGGAGACACAAGAATGCGACAGAACAGAAGGGGCTAGGCTGTTACAGCTGCTCAAAACGCAGCCTCAGTCGGAGTCAGTTAATCTTCAAGCTGGAACCAAACGCCTTTCCTCCACGGTCATTTATTAACACTGCGCTGCAGGTTAGCAGCTCCCCGCTGCCGTGTCCAAAACGTTCAGGAGTAAAATTGGTCGCATACTGTTTAAACTGTAAACAAATACGTGCAGCGTAGCGAGTAAGCAAACCCATCCATCGTAGCTCCCGGAGCCTGTAAGGCTAAACTAGCTGGTTAGCTGTCCACTTACAAAACATCCTGGCAGGGGGATAAAACACAAATGTCAGATAAATTCAATACAAACGCAATTTAATCGGCATTTCACTGTAGATAAATTTATTTAATTTTACTCTAAATTTATTCAATAAAATATAATATGTTTCTTTTAGATTTACGGGGATGTCTTAATAGATTTTTAACGCCCTTCTATCGAAGAATGCTCGTATTCTTCGTGTCACACGGAATTATGGGTAGTGAAGTTGTAGTCTCGTGTGTCAGACGTTTGATTGCAATATTTTAGTGATGTAGAAAACTACAGTTCCCAAAATAAACAAAATGCGTCTCACTGAGATTTGTTTTTAGCATAGCAGAGATAAACAGTGGTCGAGGAAACACGAGTTTATGATTTTCTGAGAAAAAAAATTGTCCTCTTTAAACATTCACGCAAACATTCCGTTCTTTGCCGCCCAGTGAGTTGGAATTTAACTACTACATTATTTTTGCATCAATCTTGCTCGTTACCTTGCTGATTTGCTAATATGCTAACAAATGCTAACTTTGTGTTTTGAGATTTTGCAATTGAAATGTTGAGTGACAGATAGACTTTTCTGATTTCGCGCTTTAGCGTTATATCATTTATTTACAAAATAAAATGTATATCTATGTTCATTAAGTGGAGTTTATTATTGATTTTCGAGTTTCAGAGAGTTTAACAGTGTGAAAATAAATTAATTTTGTACACTACAGAAACAATTGTACCAAAACATTATTTAGATGTCTTAAGTGCCTTCAAGTCATATATATATGTTCATAAAATGTAAACACGTCTTTATTTTTAAGTGCTCTCGTCTACACATGTTTGAAATTAATTAAGCAAAGTAGGTTGCAAGAACATAAATAATGCTGATTTTATATTTAGTAGAGTTTTATGCACAAGCAGAACTACTGATTGGAGTAAAAAAAACAAGCTTCTCGTATATCTTAAAATAAAACAATTCTAAGAATTACAATACAAAGTTTGATCTGCTTTATGTAAAATGCTAAATGAGCACATCCATATGTTTCTGTCTATTAGTACTGCTCTGACGTGGACTGGGTGTTATGCCGGTGCATCGTGATCGTGAGAAGAAGGAGAGTACAGCTGAGGAGATGGAGGTGGAGGAGCAGGAGCACGAAGCATCCAGCACCGAAGAGGAGGATTCTGAAACCTCCTCTGTTTCTGAGGATGGAGACAGTTCTGGTGAGAAACTCTGAATATATTTTAAATAAACACAATCTTAATATACATAAAGGGATGATTAATGTAAAGAAAATCACTATTATTCGAGTATATTTTTGTTAGGATTTAGTTTCTTTTTTATTTATTTTTTTGCAAATGATTGTGCTGATTGTGAGGMTGCTGTCATTTCAGCTTTCTCTCTTCAGTTGCAGTCAGGTTTAATGTAAAGTAAAGTAATAAGTGTGTGTTTGATCCTGTATGATGTTCCAGAGATGGATGAGGAGGACTGTGAGCGGAGGAGAATGGAGTGTCTGGACGAAATGTCYACCCTGGAGAAACAGTTTAACGACCTCAAAGACCAGTGAGACTCACGCTGATTTAKTTAAACTTTGCTAGAAATTGGAATGAAAATCAGAAACGTGTGCGATGGTGTGCAGATTGTATCGAGAGCGGCTCAGTCAGGTGAACAGCAAGCTGTCAGAAGTGGAGGCTGGACGAGCTGCAGAATATCTCGAGCCTCTAGCGGTGCTGCTGGAGAACATGCAGGTCCGCACCAAGGTGGCAGGTAACTTTTGACAGACGGGCACGCTCAGAAARTTGTGCGTGCTTCCCTCTCACTGCTCACTCCTTTATCTGTTGTCTTCGTCAGGTATCTACAGGGAGTTGTGTCTGGAGTCTGTTAAGAACAAGTATGATTGTGAAATCCAGGCTGCATGCCAACACTGGGAGGTTAGACACAGATCACCTCAATATCGTCATCTCTAACTAGATCAAGTTTCTTTTGACTCACTGAATTTATTTTTCTGATTTTTGTGTGTTTAGAGCGAGAAACTGCTGCTGTTTGATACAGTGCAGAGCGAACTGGAGGAGAAGATTAGGAGACTGGAGGAAGACAGACACAGCATAGACATCACATCCGGTAACACACTGAATAAAACCTGTTTATTATTGTTTTCACGTATTTAAAACATTTAAGTCTCACCCTGGTTTTGTTCAGAGCTGTGGAGTGATGAGATAACGGGGAGGAGGAAAAAACGTGATGCTTTAAGTCCAGATAAGAAGAGGAGACGACCTTCTGTGGTGTCTGATATCCTTTTAATCTCTGATTTTGTTTATTTCGAGTAGGTTTTTTTTCTCTTTAACTGCTTAAAAAAACTCCTAAATGCTAGAGTCCAGATTTGTCCTCATTGTCCTTAACCATGCTCACGTCCATATATTGTCTATATGCTACCAGATCTAGACATTCTGGAGGATTGGACAGCCATCAGAAAGGTGCACATTTGTTTGATGGTTTGGAGAATTGTTTTGTTTACAATTTTTATGTGTGTGAGCAGCTTTTTACTGTCATGTTTTATCCTCCAGGCTGTGGCCACGCTGGGTCCCAACAGAGCGAGATCCGACTCTGACAGCTGCTTGTTTCCATTCAGGTCCGTGGACAGAAACAGGCCAATTCTCAACTGCTGAGACACACGGGGTTAAAAAAGACAACCCTCGAGGACCTCAAACACACACACATGAACGTTTCTCTTCATCTCTTACATACCTCTATATCTGACAGTGATCAAAACTCTGCCTTACTTTRGACACCAGCTGGTTAACTGGTCGTCTCGCACATCAAGAACTTTTCCAGCATTATTGATTCCTTCAGGTTCATTCTGCTGCTTCAGGTTAGACTCAGGCTTATTGAATGCAGGTTTTTTTGTGGTTTAAAAATAAAACATCTTCTTTCTTCCAGTACTTTTCATACTATAACCTTTGTGTTAAACTTGGTTTTGAACTGTTTTTTCAGAGATTACCTGACTGTCACTGAGCAGTAAAGGTGAACACCAGGACATACTGTATTTCCTGCCACTTTGACTCTATAGAGGACCGAATATGACATAGAAATAAAAGCAGAAATATATAAAAGGACCAAAAAAATATACTATTTTAAATGCATCAATTTAATTTAAAAAAGGGAACTTTTGCTCATTTTATTAAAAACAGATTTAACTGACCTTCATATTATTTTTTCTGTGTAGTTCTAACAAATTATATATTTTACCACACATTTTAAATTTAACTGTTTTTAAAAATATACATTTTTTTCTTTTACTTGTAC